AGCTGCACAGCTCTCAAATGGAGATGCACGTCAAAGGTTCAGGAGCAGGACCAAACCCTCCCACCCTCACTTTAACCTTATTTCTCTCTCCCTCAAAAGCAACATTCTTTTTCATAGAAGTGGTCCTGGCTAGTGAAACTGTAATGAATTTTGGTACAGACCTTCAGGTCCCCTCATGTGATGGAATGCCCATCAGCCTCAGCTCTACCTTGTGTTTGGTGCTACAGTAGTTAGCAAACATGCTTACACTAAGATAGTGAACATGTGTAAACACTGCACTAAGCATTAGCATGTTAGCATTTAGCATAAAGTACTGCTGTGCCCAGATACAGTGACACAGAGCTGCTCCGAGTTTTAGTTGGAGTTTTGTGCGTGTTTATGATGAAATGATAAAAACTTGGCTGTCATCATTAATCCAGTGTCATCTACAAGCACTTCATTGTCTGATGCCATTAAAGGTGCAGCATGGCTGTGGATAACTGTGGTAAGAGATGCCTGCCCATGCAAATAAAGAATGTGCACAAGCATCATTTGCAACAAAAATCTATGTTATGTACGGATATTCTGGCTTGGTGTCGGCCACCTGAGAGAAATTTGCAGCTTAGCACATCCTCTTTTGTTATGAGTGAGTCTTGGTAGCTGTGAGAAATGGTAATAAGGTCAGAGAAGCTAAACGAGGCACTGTACTAATTAATCTAATAGGCAATTACATACTTTTCACATCCATTTATCTCCTGCAACAAAAAGGGTTTAATAGCTGATAGAATACCAGGATACAAATCAGACAGGTACCTTGCAGATCTCGGGTGAAGTGTGGTCTGTTGTCTTGAGTCAGTCAGAGGGTAGTTGTCCATTCTGACCCGTCATCATGTAAAAATTAAAAGGCTGTGGCCCGGGAGCAGAAGACACGGGCATGCAGTGGAAGACAAGTGAATGTTGGTGGAAAGGGGTAACAGAAGGCAGACAGATGGCAGAGAGCTATCACTTCATAAGGATGTCATGTTCTTCCATGCATCCCCCTCTTTTCTTTTTCATCTGTTTTGTGTGTGTTCCTACATGCTGTTGATCACATGACTAATGTTGTCCTCTGTCTCCATGTCATCTCTCCAACACAACATCCTGTGGAAAGCTGCTGCTGAGAAGTAAAAGCTGTAAGTTTGTTCTCTGACAGGGGTTGGTGAAGGCAGTGGCACTTTAACAGTGGCCCACTTCCATTCTAGCAGAACGACCCCCTTACTGCCCTTCACTTCCCCTCTGGCTGTTCCATATGCTACAAGTAGGAAAGAGCGCTATCTAGGCTACACGTAGCACCTTGCAGTTGGTGGAAGAAGCCAGTCTGAGAGTGTGGAGCTCAGACCTGGCCTGTTTTCTGCCCTTTGCTCATGTTGTCATCACAGCCAGTCAGTATTTGCAGACTCTGTGTGGTGATAATCAGTCACTTTATTAGGAGAATACTCCACAGGGAATAAATGCCTCGGGGGAAGTAAAAGGAAGGTGTGGTCGTTCTGCGTGGGTTGGTGTGTGCGGTGGTGGTGGTGGTGGGGGTGGGGATGTCATTGCTCCAGATATCAGCACATCCATCACATGTCTCCATCTGGGGCAGCAGGTACTGTGAGGGTGATGTGCACACATACTTAAACACAGAATGCACACAGTGTTCTGTGTTTGTGCTTGTTGTGGTGGGACTGGTTTCCAGTTGTAGCACCATCACTCAGGTCTGGTCCCAAGCTTCATGTTGTCATGTTCAGTTTCATGCTCAACCCTCCCGATTAAATGCAGCTTAGACAGGGCTGCTGCTGTTCTGAAATGCTTTGTTGTTGACAAATCCCATGAAAAGGCCCAAACCAACACTGTCGTCTACCTCTCAACACCTTCTGAATTTCCTACTCAGTCAGCTCCAAGCCCAAACATTTTTAAAGCCACCTCACCAAACTGGAGGAAACAGTGCATGTGCTGGTGACTATTTTCAGCAGCACATGAACCCACATCAGCAGCAGGACTGAACTACAGTGTCTGTGTGTGTTCATGGTGATGGGGGAACATGACACCTGGTGCAGCCATGCTGTTGGACAACAGTGCAGCTCTGTGGCACAGAGGAAGAAGAAACAATACATCAGGCTTTGATATGTTCAGGTCTTGTTAGCAGGAGTGATTGGTGGCTGGTTTTAACCTTTTCATGGAATTTGTTGACAGCTGTCACAGGTGACTTTGGTCCAAGATGGGGGCAGTTTAACTTTCCTCCCCTAAACGTCCTGAAGAATCGAAACTGATCAGTTTTTCAAAGCAAAAAAAGAGCAGAAAGTCTTAATATATGTATCAGAGAATAATTTTTTCTTTTAATCCTGCCGACCCCCTCCAGGGTTCAACAACTGGTCTAAAATAAAAATCAAAAAGCTGCTGTTGTAGTTGTCATTATACAGTGGAATAATAAACTAACTTAAAAAGTGGTTTTAGTAAAGGTTCCTCTTTAAATACAGTATATCCTAATGCTAAGCTTCTCAGACTGTTTCTGATGCCAGAACGTCATCTTCCTGTGTCTCCATGAAAATGTCAGTAAATGACTTTGCCACTGATGTAACTTTCTCTGAGGGTGGAGGATCTCTTCTCCTCCCGGTGTTGTGCTGTTCCCAGCCATCCATTAACTGAGTGTATGTGCCGCGTGCAGCGGAGACCTGTAGACACCTTTAATCGGTTCATATGAATGTAAACCATAAACCAAGAGGCCTGGAAAGACCTTGGAATGTTTGAGGGAAAACAAAAGGTTGAGATTTGTTTTGTTTTTTTTCATTGTTCAAATTAAAGCGCTTTTTGTTTGTTTAGAACATTGAAAATGATCTTGATTTGGCACGATTATGAATAAAGGCAGAAGCGTGATACAAACACCATTTCCAGAAAAGTTGGGACATTTTCTAAAATGCAGTAAAAACAAAAATCTGTGATTTGTTAATGTGCTTGACCCTTTACTGAACTGACAAGAGTGCAAACAAAAGGTTTTCGGTGTTTTCACTGACCAACTTTGTTGCATTTTGTAAATATAAACACATTTAGAATCTTATCGCTGCAACACACTCAAAAAAAAAAAAAAAGTAGGGACAGAAGCTTGTCCACCATTGTGTTACATTGTCTTTCTTTTTAATGACACTTTGCAGTCATTTGGGAACTGAGGATACTAACTGATGCAGTTTTGCAAGTGAAATACTGGCGCATTCTTATATTCACCTCGGTAACATGACGGTTTCTCGTGCACTGCCTCCTGAGGGCTTGAAGGTCACGCACATTCAGCAGCGTTTTCGCTCTTGGCTTTACGCACTGAAATTTCCCCAGATTCCCTGAATCTTTTCACAAAATCATGGACTGTAGATGGTGAAAAGACCTAGACTCTTTGCAGTCTTGTGTTGAGGAACATTTCTTTTTGAATTGACTGAGAATTCTCTCACGAAGTATGGCACAAAGAGGTGCCACGGCCCATCCACTGCTGTCATGATGCCCTCTCCTGTTCCCAATCCACCTGCTAATATCGGAATCTTCCAGAACAGTGGTACTGGAATATTCTGTAAACTTTTCAGTCTTATTTAGCCGCTGTTCCTACTTTGTGTGTTCCAAAATAGTTTATACAGGGTGGCCCCCGATGTCGGTGCTGCGGGCAGTATGGGTACACGGGCTACTTCTTCGTGGCCCACCCTGTATTTACAAAATGCAGCTAAGTTGGTCAGTGAAAACACTGAAAACTTTTTCTTTGTACTTTTATCAGTTAGAAAAATTTCAAGAGAATTAACAAATTACAGATTTTAGTTTTTATTGCATTTTGGAAAATGTCCCAACTTTTCTGAAAATAGGGTTTGTACAAACATGTCACTGAATCATTTCCTTAAAGGTCACAAATTTAACATCCAAATGAAAGTGGTTATGGTTTAATAATCCTGTTTAAGTATTGTGATACCTTTTCCATCAATGTAAAAATAGCTTTGTTGCTGTTAGTTACCAAGAAACCTTAACTTTCCTAAAGGTCAGCTACAGAAATATTAACTGTAAATATATAAAATCCATAACTGATCTTTATGTATTAAATCCACAGGAAAGGGAAATTATTATTATTGTTTTAATTTAATTTGTGTCTTAAAACAGTGTTAGTTTGTGTGGTAGAAGTGACGGTAGGTTCCCAGCGTGAATTGTGGTACTGTGGCTTTTATTGAATCACATATTGTGCTTTAATGGAAATCTGTCACATTAAGAGCAGATGAAACATGAATGTGTAAACGGAGGAACTGAATCCAAGAGACGCCCTCCTTAGTAAGAGTACACAGAAACGAGATGGCTGCTGACATCGCTCACAGTATACACCCGAAGCAAAACAGTGGCACTAGAAAATACCCAGAGGACACTAAAGCAACTGGAGCTAAAAATGACATCCTGTGCTTCTGCTGCTGGAGCCCAGATAAGAGGTTTGCACATGGTGCCACCTGCTGACTGTTTTGCAGCATTACGTTTTTAAACCATTCCAGTAGTGACATGATGAAATCTGTAGTATGGAGTTAATGAGCCAAGGCCTCCTTAAATGAACTCCAGCCCTGTTTTTGTAACTTTTAGACCATCACAGTGTGATTCTAATGATCCTGGGAATCGAGCAAAACTCTAGGTTCACTGAAGTATTTGTGGGAAGTAGATCAGTTGTCTAACAAAAGCTCTTGAATGTGACAACCAACCAAAATCACAGCATCTGCTGCACAACTTCTGTGCGTTTTTATTGTCCGACTAAAAGAAAAGTGACCAAAACCAATGCACAATAGAGAATGAGTACAAATGTCATGCAAAATAAAAGTCTGTGCCAACTGGGAAATGGCTGAAAAACTGGTGGTCAGTGGGCTAAAAGTGGCAAATCTCCCCCTGGTGTTTGTTGATTTGACACTGTTTTCACACTCCTCCACCACTGATCAGGTTTTGCTTGCCATGCACTCGGTCTGAATCAGCCTGACCTGCCGTCTCCTCTCTGTCCCTCTCAGGCCTCCCACAGACGACTCAGGAATGCGTAACAATGCTACTGCCCTCACCTCCACCCCGCCCAGCAGCCTCCCATCCCAGGCGCACCCCTGCAGCCCACCAGACTCCACCTCCTCTCTCACCCCCTGTTCCTCACTGCCGCCCTCTGTGTCGCCCACCCTCACCGATGTCTTCGGGCTGCCCACCCCGCCTATGGGCAGCGGTGGTGGCTATAGCCTGAGCTCCTCCTGCGGCGGCAGTGGGAGCTCACGCTCTCCATCACCGCTCACACTGATGCAGGCGGTGGCGGCCTCAGGCAAACCTTTTGCCTCCAAACCAATGGAGCTGTGGACCAAGCACGATGTGGCGGACTGGCTAGAGAGCCTCAACCTGGGGGAGCACAGGGATGCTTTCCTGGACAATGAGATCGAGGGTGCCCACTTGCCCTCGCTGCAAAAAGAAGACCTGATAGACCTGGGTGTGACGAGGGTGGGCCACCGCATGAACATCGAGAGGGCGCTCAAGCTGCTGCAGGACAGATAGGCCCCAAAGAGACGGGGTGGCAACACGTGGAATCAGGGCGGCGAGAGGGAGGTGTCACTGATCACTTTGACCAATCTCTTCATCAGACATAATCTCAAGTTGTGGAACTGGGTAGAAGTTTCATCCAAGCTGATGCTGCCTCTTGATGTTTTGTCCTCTCTCATCCTCTGCTGTTGTCCTCACCTCTGTTCTGCTCTTGCCTGCCCTCTTCCTCCGCCCCGCTGTCTGGAGGAAGTGCAGGGGGACACAAAAGAGATTAGCTGCTATGTCACATCATGGAGAGAGAAAGCAGACGAGGCCAGTATGAAACACTGTCCAGAAAATGAAAAACTCTGGAAAAGTTTGTCTTCACACACTAGAGGTTTGTTTCACATAAAGACTTGTGCTCACCCAGCTGCTTTGGAATACTAAAGACTTTGTCCATGCACCCCGAAGTGGGTGTATGAAGAACCAGCTGAGCTGGTCGTTGCTCCTTTTCTATCTTTGCTAGAGTTTGTTCAGAGAATAATATTTCTTCACTAGAGTCCTACCGGAGTTATATTTCTGGGTGCATCTAAGGTTGTAGAGAAAAATTTGAAATAGATGCCATTCTTCTTTTTTTTTTTTGCTTTTCATCTGTTCGTGTCAAAATAAGATTAGCAGACATGTTTAAACGAATACTAAACCACATCTTGTGTCCATGCACACACAAACACACACTGTATGCATACAGAGTGTCACACACTGCACACAAATACACACCGTCTTCACAAACATACAGACCCTGAGCATGTGTGCACACACTGTTACTGCGATGGCCTTCTTCTCCTGAGAGAGAGCAAAGTGTGGAGAGAGGAAGTCACTAGAGGAGGAGCTCTGCTGCAGCAGGGGCCCCAGGGCCCCTCTCCAGTCTGCACCAACCCAGTGTCCACCTCATTATTCAAGGACACCGGAGGCGAGGACAGAAGGTGCATGACAAACGTTGGACCAGAAATAATCTCACCTTGAAATGGTTGTACCAACTTGTGTGGCTGCAAAGGACGTCCCTGTCCTCTCTCAGTTTTTTTTCTTCTTCTTCTGTGTGTGTGTGTGTGTGTGTGCGTGTGTGTGTGTGTGTGTGTTTTAATGGTTGACCCAAAATATCGTTAAGGCCATTTAGCTATTTCCGTGGATTTGCTACATAGGCCACAGTATAGGGAAACTAGAGCTGTTCTTTTGTACATCTCTCTGTCAGGTCTTCTTCCACTTCACAGTTTGCAGGTCAACACGAGGCGTAGGTGGCCCCACAGCAACGCTAATGTGTGACACCCTGTGTGTGAGAGCATCAGAAGGCTGGCTTAAAGGAAGAATACAACATTTTAGGAAATGTGCTAATTAGTAACACCGCTCTCATGTCTGTCTGTTAGACACAGGACTGAAGTGCAGCTGGGTGTCCATGTTCTGTTCCAGAAAATCTCATTCAGAATAACAAAAAGCTGGCTTTCCATCCATCTGGTTTTAAGGCATATTTTCAACTGGCTTAAAAAAAATAAAGTAGAAAAGCTGGAATTTGCAGAAAAATTGAAATTTCCCAAACAAATTTGGCACTCGGCTGAGGTGGAGAAGTTGACATCCAGAATACAAAGTGCTGCAGTGTACCAGTTTGTCATGAACCATGGAGGGTGAACCAGGAATGTGTTTTCAGAAGGATGAAAGTTGCTCAGTGACAGTTACAGAAACTAGCAGCACAGACTTCAGGACGTAAAGCCAGTAGACAGTTAGCTTAGCTTAGCATAAAGACCAGGAGCGGGGAGAATCCAAAACCTTTGGACAAAGACTGCACCCAGTGTTCATGCTAATCTAAAAATGTCATGGATCAAGCTTCATAACAGGCAGACATGAAAGTGATGTTTATCTTCTCAACTGCTCAAACTTTCACTAAGAAAGCAATTAAGCAGATTTCTCTAAACTTTTTAAGACTGTCATTTGATAGCACTATACTTAATTTTTATATAGTGTTATATAGTGTGCTTTTGGAGCCCCCCCCCCCCCCCCCCGCCCTTTTTTTTTACATAAGATATGAGAAGTGTAATCTTGAAGAACTAAAACTCAAAGGTTGACATTTAAAGAGCTAAAACTCAAGTTTTACGAGAGATACTGCATATTTTCTATTTAGCTAATTAGCTACCTGAACATTTTGTACATTGTGGTTTGCTAATGAAAAAACGATTCAGCAAGAGTTTTGTTAGCATCATGCTAAAGTTATCAGATGCAAACAATCCAAAACTGGTGCAGCTGTTTAAAAGTACTTTGCTGTGGTATAGAACAGACAGAGTCTGGTTCAGACTGAAATGGCCTTCAGCGGTGTGGTATCTTCCTGTAAAGAAGGCTGGAGACACAACACTGCGCTAACAAAGCTGACGACACCGGCCACTCATAAATAATTAGTCCATTTGTCTTTCAAGAGCTTACTGTATCAATGTACGTATCAGCCGGTTGATTTTGGCCAGATGACATGAAATCCTGCATAACCATCTGAGGTTTTGAGCAAATGCGAAAACTGTGGCTTCAGGGTTTTATGTTGAATCACGTGTTGACAGACGTGCACATGCCTTTGCCTGCACTCCAGCCACTGTACAAGAAATAAGCAGAGAGTAATCTGACAAAGCCGGCAGATGTCCGTCAGCCCTGTGTGAGATTAGAAAGGAAGAGAAACCTTTTCTGATCTGTTGCAGATGAACGTCAGTCTGTATAACTACAAGACTTTAAGCTTCTCCAGCAGGATTTAACGTCTGTTGTAAGGGTCCAATTTAAAACTAAATCAGCATTTATAAAGATGGAAGTTGATGTTTTTACCAGCAGTGATTACAGGCTGGTCAGAAGTAGAAGTGCAGTATGTGTTGAAATATGTACATAAGAGTGTTTAACAGGATGAAAATGTCTATTTGATTATATGTGAAGCTCCTTTAAAAGATTTAGAGAGAAAAAAGAAATTCTATGAAGGTTCATTTACAGTTGGCAGAGCTGACCTGACGACCAAAGCAGTGTGCTCACTGCCCCGTCATCCTGCAGAGGACGCCTTAATCTGCCCACTGCTCCGCCCTCCACCGCCTGCAAAGCTTTATAGAGAGAAACAGCTTCTGTTTTATCTCAGCGTCCAATCTTTCAGAGCACACCTCATGTGCTGGGACATGCGCTCCAACATTAACCCAATATCTGGAGAGATATATCTGTTTAGAAAGAGTTGGTCCTTCTTTGGTTTCATGTGACACTCTGCAGCTTCATGTAGGTGCAGCTTTGTGAGGAGACAGTGAAACATACACAAGCTCTGTGTTCTGTGAACATTAGCCGTACGCAGGCTGGAACGGGACGGCACAGCTACGAGCCCGTTCCTGTTTGAACTGTAACTTATTTTGAAACAAGCAGTGACGTATCGGAGGGGTCAAAAAGCACAGTATTTTTAAAGATTTGTATAGAGTTCTATGACATTTTATAAAGGTTATCTGAACAAAAACTGTTCATCATTGACGTGTGGATTGCCAAAAAGAGAAATACTATATAGAGACAAATGTGGATGTTATTAGACTTATGAGTTGTGTAAGAAGCAATATTTATTCTGAATGAAACTCCTTGGTTGTGTTTTATTTTCCCATTTTAAAGTTACATATCATTCTGCGATCACGTCAGTATCTTAATGAAGTGTTGCCTACAGTAGTTACACTCTCCACTGCAGTAGTAGACTTGAGCTATTTTGGCCAATCAAAAACCCAGGTGTTTTCTGACCCCACCATTTTCTCAGCTTCTGAAATCCCTGAGTCTACAGTGTGTGTGTGTAAAACAGCAAAATGTGTACATTTTTGAAAAATATATCTGCAGGCCATCTTTGGTAGGAAACTATATGAAATCTCTATATATATATGTAAACATGCATAAATCCACCAAAAAGATTAGTGGTGGCTGCTGGCTCCTGTGTGAGGACCAACAGGCCACTCTCAGTTTTCTCTGTGGAAACGTAGACCTGAGTAGGTGTAGTAGGAGTCTTTAAAGCATCACCGTGGCGTGATGCTGCACCGGGCCATGTTTAGGACAGGCATGGCTCACTGACCCACTTCCACTCCCCCTCAAAACACTGCTCCCACTTAGCATTGTCCAACATTTGGGTAACTCTTTTATTTTTTTTTTCTTTCTTAATTAATTTTTTTTTTTACTGAAATGAAAGGAGAAAGAATCGTCCTGTAACTTCACCCTTCCCTCCCCCCCCCCCACCACCTCGGATCCCCAGACTTCTTGTAATGGCAACCAAAAGTCACTGTAAGAAATAAATATAATATTGCACGAGTGTTGTATCCCTCGCAGTCCTTGCTCGCAGCTCGTCGGGTCGCTGTGTTTACACTGGACCAGTTGTCGCACCTGAAGTCACACGTTCATGTAGTCGGTGTGTGTGGATGGAAAGAAACCCGATAGTCTTTATAACTGTACAACTTTTTATTAAATCCCAAAGGATTTTTTTTCATGATGCATAAAATAATTCCACCGATTCCGTCACATATTCAACATAACACAAGTGAACAAAAAAGCAGCCAAGAAAGTCTGAGACATGTTTTAATGATAAGAATTAAGGTTTTAAAGGTTTTTATTGTACAAACATATCTGTTCTAAGCTTTTTGGTTTTTAAAACCTTTGTATCATGTTCAAAGTATCAGTAGGGTGCCGCCAGAAAATTACAGACTTTTAAAGTGTTTGATTTGATTTTCATCAATGAATACACTGATAGCTACATTTTAAAAATTGTAAAGCATTGTTAATCATTACATTTGACAATTATTAATCAACTATTATATTTTTAAACAGTAAAAAAGAAATGAATGTGTTAATTCTAAAAAGAAATGTTATGTTCTTCCATTTGTTTGCTTCCATCAGGGAACTTGTAGGCTGAAGCTATCATGATCAATTACGTTTGCATTGAATGATGTACTTTAAAATTCAAATGTAAACAGAATTATACGTTTATTTGGTTTAATGAGGTAAAAACTAGTTGTGTTTGCAGTTGTCTTTCACAAAATTTTATTTACTATCTTTACTCACAAATAAATACATTTAATATAAAATCACAGATTTAACACAGCTTTTATATTTCATTTGAGTTTTTCATTTATTTATATTTTTATATCATCACATTTTATTTTGTTTACTGCTTTAATATTTAGTTTCCCTTTTATGATCACTATAATCTAAATATGAGTTAGCACTGAGCTACCTAAACGTGAAAGTCCAACCCACAGAGTAGTCCAAAGTCCAAGTCCAAATGTGGATCTAGAACTGGTTAGTGTAAGACATAATAATAAAAACACAGATATGATGTATGAATATTATAAACAGAAAAACATACAGATGGGTCAGGAGATCCACAGTCACATGCTACAGGAGCAGTGGTGGTAGTACCTAGCCAGCAAGTATGAGATAGCTATCAGAACCTCTGGCTATATGAGTTTGTATACTGTAGAGTTGTATGTGATTCTGATTGCTTTAAAATGGGCTGGAGAGAGTAGATGAAATCATTTGCTTGGTTTGTGCTTGGTCAGAGCTTTGGTGTGGAAGAAAGTTATACCAGCCTGCCAGGAAAGTTGGGCTCATGAGACAAAGGCAAGGCATCTGCATTCAGTGCAGAATAAGGTAAGGACAACTGGGGCAGTTCAAGGAAACAACAGGTAATAATTAGCAGACTGAGGATTCTCAGTCGCACATTATTCATTCTAGGGAAGCATCCAACAGGCTTTTGTGTCAGGCAAGAGAATCTGTGCAATACATTATTATTTCATGTAGGAAATATACAGATGAACGATTAAAATGATTATGCAGCTACAGAAGTTAAAAGGGATTTTAAGATATGGAAGTGATGGGGTTTCTGTTTGATTATTTGAGAGCAAGTGAACTGATATAGAGCAACAGGGTGTTGATGTGGATCATAAGCAGAAGGTGACAGTAATGCCACGCTAACACCGCTAACCGCCGAGAGAGAAGAACGCAACGCCAAGGATGTCAACTGCCGTGAAACTCTAGAGAAGAAGAAGCGGGGGCAGATATAGGTATTTAGTAGTTTATGCAGTTCTAAGAACCTTTATTTTTTAATTCCTTCGGCTCTATTATTGTTGTTACACATTCCAACCCAGTAGGTGGTGGTAATGCACCATAAGTTGGCCTGCAAACCGCCAATAAACATAAGAAGAAGAAGCAGCAGCAGCAGAAGAACTAGAACTAGAATTAGAATTAGAATTAGCATTAGCATTAGCATAAGCAGTGGACCAGAAAATATGTATAATCCAAGGAAAAAAAAC